GCTGGGAGGGGATGGCTGTGGATCCAGGAGGAGCTGGTGCCAAGGAAAGGCAGTAAGGAGTGTGGGGAACTGCCTGCCAGGGCAGCTTCAATAATGCTTTGCAATAACACTGGCAGCCAACTGTAATATCCTCAGAGATGTTAACTGCAGAAAAGCACTACTTGAGGTATTAATTTTTTTTTCAATCAAATATTTTGTGTAGTACAAATCACTGCCTGAATACAGGAGTGTCTGCAGAGGTCCCTGGCAGAAATATCTGACAGCTCTTTGCAAGGGGAGGGATGCCCATCCTCCTGCCCTGAGGAGTGCTAAAGAGTTCGTAGCTCTGAAGTATGTGTGGTGAATTTTAGGGCTGGTACAGAGAGATGAACTGACAGCTCTGTGCTACCCCATGGTTGTCACCTTGTACCACTGCACCCACATCCCTCCTGCACTGGCAGCACTGTGAGTAACACGGCGTGGGGGGCAAAGTGGTTTGTTCAGTAGCAGAACAAGGAGCTCACTTCTCACATGAATGTGAGCCTATAAAGATGTACTGATGAATATGAAAAGAATAGTTGGGGCTTCCTTTTTTTCCAGTAGAGGCTGTAGGTTGCAGTGTTGCCTACTCTATATCCCCCATAGGCCAATATTATATTTCCTACCAGGAGTTGTGACCTGCTGTTTGAAACAGCTGCTGAGCTGCCAGGAGAGCTGATATCTGCCTGGTCAGATGGAGAAGTGTAATACAAAAGACTATTGTTTTGCCATTATCTTCCTCCTCAGTCCTTCATTACTGTTCAGTTCAGATCATTACAAAACGCAGGAGCTGGGAAAACACTTCTCTCACTTTACCCAGAGCAGTTGGCAGTCGAGTTATCTCTTACACTGGTATAAGCAGGAAAGGTGCTTGCATAATTGCATGGAAAAGTGGAAACAACCTGCCAGTTTGGGAAGCTGTGCCTGGCAAAATGAGGCTCCTCCGGCTCTTACGGAAATTATGGAGGGTGGAAAACAGCAGGATTAGGGCCAGGATTCAGGGAGAAGGAGAAGAATGAAGGAAAGCAGAGCAATGGCAATGTGGTCCCCATGGTCCCAAACAGGTTTAGGAGGGAAGCACTGGTGGTGTTGTGCATCTGCTTCAGGTGCTGGCACCACTGGAGTGTGTGCAGTAGAGTAATAAATCATCTGTAAAAAGTAAAACCACATCATGTTTGAGAGGAACATTGAACAGCTGTGGGGGAACTGCAGGTAGGACTCCTTTTGAGGAGGGAGAACGTGAGCAGCGAGTCAGCATTTGTTCGTGTTTTATTTGGATCCATCTGGCAGCCTCTTTGGTATGTGTTGTGAACATTGTGAATAACTGTCTCTCTCCTTTCCTCCCCCTGATCTTTCCTGCAGTGGTTTCCAGTGACAGTGAGAGCGACTCGGAGCTCAGTTCCTCCAGCCTGGATGACAAGCTCGTACCGATGGGGTCAAAAGGCTCACAAGGAAGCAAACTCCGAGCAGGACTGGGTGAGGAGTTGCTGGTCCTTGTGGCTGGAGGGTGGATATTAGGAAGAGATTTTTTACAGAGGCAGTGCTCAAGCATTGGAATGTGCTGCCCAGGGAGGTGGTGGATTCACCATACCTGGAGGTTTTCAAGCTGAGACTGGCTGTGGCACTTAGTGCCATGGTCTAGTGACCACGGTAAGGTTGGACTCGCTGATCTTTGAGGTCTCTTCCAACCTGGTTGATTCTATGATTCTATGATCTACTGGCTGTGGCTGTGCCAGGTGAGGATCTGGTCCTTTCTCACTGGAGTAGGTGTTGGGTCATTTCATTGCCTGCAGCCTTTCAGGACTTGCCCTTGCAGTTGGAATCTGTTCCCAGCTGCCCAGCAGCATGTCTCCATCCAGCTCCTCACTCCTGGCTTTGCAGCACTGAAATTGCTGGTGCTGGTTTAGGAGCAGAGCCTGAAGAATTGGGTTTTACCCTGTGTCCTCAGGGTGCTTGGCTGGGAGCTGGGAACGTTGCCACTCCCTTAGGACTCAGCTCAGCATCTGCACCCACTTCTTTTTCCCTTAGCAGCATCTCTGTTGTGTCCCTGCAGCACCCATCAGGGAGCCCATCAGGGCTCTGGGGAGCACCCAGTCCCTGACGCTGTCGGGGAGCCGCAGCAGCCTGGGCAGTGAGCAGGGGGCTGAGCTCAGTGCTGCAGAGAGCTGCCCCAGCGACCAGCCCGCGGACACACGCCACAGCAGAGTCCCTGGTAAGCTGAGCCTCCTCTCTGCCTACATCCCTGCTTTTGGGGCTGACTTTCCCTCAAAGCACAGCTTTCTCAGAGGCACCCCTGGCAAACCTGTGGCCCAGGATCACCTTTCCCTGCTGCTTTTCTCGTGGCAGATGCTGTCACGGCATTACATCTCCTACCCTAAATTCAGTCTATCCTGCAACGTTGTCTGGGGTGGGAGCTGCCTGCTTCCACATCCAGGAGCAGTCAGAGCCTGGGTCTTGTCCCCCTGCAAAGGCCTCGGAGCTCCTCTCTGTCCTGCAGAGCCAGCGGAACAGATTGAGCTGCTACTGAAGCAAAGCACGAGTCCAACAGCTTTATGAGACTGAAAAACATTTTTCCCGAAGTAAGATGGCTCTTAAAGCCAAGTGTGGCTTTTCCCAGAACTCTACAGTGCAAAAAAAGACACTTTTTTCCTCTCCTCAAAAAGCTGAGAACAATTAAGTGACTGGGAAGGCAGAGGCTGCTCTCACATCTGATTGGGAGCAGCTGAAAGAGATGCAAATGTATTCTCTCTCCAGTTCCCACTAATTTAGTCACTAACCCAGGTTATCTTTCAGCACTGGTCCCTCTCAAGCATCCAAACTGCCTGTTGTTCCTGAGCCTGGTTTGTGCTGGGCATAAATTGGATTAGAGAGAGGTTTATCCTTCAGTGCACCATGGAGTTATAGTTCCCCTTTCCAGTTTCCCATTGGAAATAGCTGGCATAAAATTGTTTCTCTTCTCTTCCCTCCCTCCCCAAGTTTCAGGGATTTGCAGTTTTCTTTCATTTTAGTTTTCACAAAGCAAATCAAACAAGTGAGCCTGGTTTGTGCTGGGCATAAATTGGATTAGAGAGAGGTTTATCCTTCAGTGCACCATGGAGTTATAGTTCCCCTTTCCAGTTTCCCATTGGAAATAGCTGGCATAAAATTGTTTCTCTTCTCTTCCCTCCCTCCCCAAGTTTCAGGGATTTGCAGTTTTCTTTCATTTTAGTTTTCACAAAGCAAATCAAACAAGTGATGCTTCTGCTCTGTCTTTCCTCCCTGTGGATTATAGTGCTGCCTCGGACTGGGTGGTTTATTTTAAGCTCCTGTTGGCTGTGGCATTAGAGACAGCAGATTCCTGTTGTGTGGTGGCTCTTCTGCCTGTGGAGCAGAGCAGCAGGTTGTCCTGTGGGATTGAAATGGGTGTTGGTGGGTAGCAGGTGTGACTTCTAGGGTGCTGCTTCTGCTGCTACGTGGCCATGCTGCAGGATGGATGGATGTGCTCCTGGATGATGTGTTTGTACTTAACAGCTTCTCTTCCTGCTGTTTGAACGAGTTGCTGCCTAGCCATGACAGTGCAAACAGTATTTCAGAGGGGGGAAAATAAGTGCTTTTTCTTCCTACTAAAAACTTCACATGCAAAGCTTGGTACAAGGGGTCAAAGCTTTCCAGTGGGATCTCTCCGTGTAGGTGGGAGAGAGCTTAAAATGACAGGCAGCATGGATATATATTTTTAAAAAGAAAACTGTAGCAATCTCATGAGCCCAGTTAAGGTAGTCCCTGAGATGTAGAGAGGATCCTGCTAAGGAAAAGGTTAGGGCAGGTTGGCTGGCTAGGGAGTAGCTGTAAAGATCTTTATTATGTCTGGGTTCATTTATTTCTCAGTCTTGCAGAGGGACTGCTTTGTTCAGACAAGAGGAAGGCTCCAAGCCCCCTGGGCTGGGGAAGGGAGGCAGGGACACCACAGTGAGTATTTTTTCTAATGGATCTCTTTAGGTGCCACTCTTTGCCAGAAAGCAGAGGCTGCTCATCTCTTTAAGGAGTGGTGGAGGCAATGGGTGCTGGATGTCAGGACTGGCGAGACTCTTCACTGTGGGACAGTCCCCAAGCTCTGCCGTGACCCAAAAGCAGAGCAAGAGGCAAGGATCCTTTCCCATTTAAATTGCTGATCCTCAGCTGCAGAACATTAGAAGAAGATTTTGCTGTAGTTTCTCTGAAAGGCTCTGCAACTTTCTAACACTGTGTCAAGAGCAATTTTTGCTTCATATTATCACCTCAGGTGTTGTTCTACCGGTGACTTTCTTTCCGCTTCTTTTTCTCACCTCTGCTCTAATTCTGCTCTCAAGTGCGACTTTGCAGAGCACTTTAGCATCCTTAAATCCCAGGCCACAGCCAGAAAGGGAATTAGAGAGTGGTACTGCAAATGCAGTTGCTCTCACAGTCCTTGGCTCTTTAAGCCTGAAGGCCAAGCCGACAGCATGGACGTGTGGCCAAGGGAAAACAAGGAGCTATTAAGAAGAGGTTGTAGGTTTCCAGTGCGTTGCTCTGGCTCCGGCTGAGGTTTGGTGAGGCAGATAATGAAGCCTGGGGTTTGTCATAAAATGACTCATTGTCAGAGCTGCATTGGGATTTAGGCAACCTCAGCCCATGAGCCAAAGTTTCAGGAGAGCAGTGAGTGGAGAGGCTGCCAATTTTATTATTTCTTTCTTTTACCACCTGCTCTCAAGGCCTTTCAAAAGCATCATTTTCTGTGGGGCTGCTGTTTCCTCTTCCTCTTCTGAAGCTCTGGAGGTGCCTGCTCAGACGTGATTGCTGTTAAGAAGAAGGTCAGGCACTCGTTTTCTTGAAGAATGTTTTATCCTACAGAAAATTAAATCTGCACATGGAGAAGTGGCACAATCTTCCTTTTCCCCTTACTTGCTCCCAGCTAGGGGAGGTGACTCACCTTGTTCTGCCTGTACATGTTGATGTTAAGAGATGCATCAGTTCAAAGAAGAGCAAACCCCTCACTACTGTTGATGATGACATTTTTATTAAGGAAAGGGAATATTAAATGGAATGAAACACAGAATTAATCAATATCTTACAATGGTTTTCTTTAGCCCGTGGAGAGCTTTGAATGGCGATAACATCTTTGATCTTGGGGCTGCTGCAGGCAGTAAGTTAAGCAAAAGACTTCTCTTCTCAGATCAGTAGCAAGTTCTGCGTTGATGGGACCCAGTTAATGGGATCCTCAGTGTCTTCTGGGGACCTTATCCCAGAAATGGGTCAATCCTGTTTGCTATTCCATGCATCTCCAGAACTGGTAGGGAACGATGAATGAGCTTGGCATGGGCTGTGGGGCTGCAGAAAGCTCTAATTTCTGCTTAAAGCTGGAGATTTGAGAAACAGCCATGAGAGAAGCTAATGAGCGAGTAGCATACGTCTGAGTGCAAATCACAGGCTCCACATCTCTGCTTGTTTGCCAAAGTGTTGTCTAAATCATTAATACTTAAAGAGTGGTACAGCAGCTGGCAGTTAAACAGAGCCACGTTAAACAGTGCTGGGGCTGAGATGATGATGGCAGTGCCTGGTGGGATGTAAAAAATTTGTGGCTTGCAATCATGAGGTGAGACAGGCAGGAAGGACCCCAGAAATCAGCAGATCCAGCCTGGACCCTTCTCCCAGGGTGCTGAAGCTGCAGCTCCTGGATCTCTCCCTTTAGCTGCTTTGTAGCTGTCACACTGGGAGAAGCTGAGCAAAGAAGAGCAAAAGGCCTGGAGCTGAGAGAGATGGGCAGGGAATGCTGCTTCCATCTCTCTTAATTTGGGGAGATTTATGCCCTGTCTTTCAGGAATTGACTGGATTTAGAAATGAGGTGGTTTTCTCTCCGTGGCTCAGTGCCTCCCCTGTTGGGGCAGGCAGCCACTGCTGCTCATAAATATGCAAGCTGTTAATACATGAGACAGGCAGAGCCATTCGGCATTATTTTCATGGCAGGAAATTCTCAGGGCATCTTTGAAGTATTAACTTCTCTTTTCCCTTCCATTCTGTTGCTCAGATGTCTGGTTTGGTCCCTCAGGGATGATGAGGAGGTAACATTTTGCATCAGTAGGTCTGACTACTCCATTCCATGTAGGAAAAAAAAATAAATCTGTCCTAACAGTAATTAGGCTCCAAATGGGATAGTAATTTCTTTAATGACTTTCTTCATGACAGTCTATGGGGAGTTGACTTTTGTTTTCCTGTGTGTGGTGAGAAAGTTACTTAAATGTTTTCAGGCTGCTTGTTTTCTTGTCCGTGTGAGCCACAGCCAAACAGTGTGGTCTTCTAGGGCTGGTTTGCAGCAGGGTGGAAGAGATGGGGAATCTCATCTCTTCCTCTCTGTGCCTTTGGGCTCTGCCTGCACTGAAGGCACAGATTAGGAAGGAAGAGAGTATGGTCAGATGTGGAGGAGAAACCCTCACCCACATCCCTCCTCTCCCCTCCAAGCCTCTGCCTCATCAAACTTTGAGCCCCTCTTCTGCTCAGAGCTTGCTGCCACTGCCCCAGGATTGAGTTTGCCTGCTGCCAAGGAGGATAAGTTGTCTGTCTTGCACAAGGTGAAGAAAATTGAATTGTGCCTTCATGGCTGAGAAGCTCTGAGCTGTCTCTGCCTGCTCATATCTGTACCGCAGAGTACTGAATGGTCCTGCTGTATTTATAAATAAAACATGTCTTTGGGTACTGAGAGTGTAAGGAAATGATTTCAGGTTTGCATTCCAGACATAATGCATTTGTAAATATGAACCTCAGGAGAAGCCTGTGCCCCCTTCCATGTTTTCAGGAATTAAAATAGTTTCATCTTCAAGTGGTAGAACCAAAACGTTTTCAGCTCTTTTAAGTCCGCCTGAAAGTTAAGTGAATAAAGGCCTGAGTAACTAAAAAATAAATTACTTTCCCTATTTCTATAATTCTTTATGGAGTTTTCAAATTGGAGGCTTTTCCCTTGAAAAATAGAGGGATGACAAAGATTCATTCTCATGCCTCTTTCACTCAATATATCTGAAAACAAGTCTGCTGCTGAAGATGAAACTCCTATTTTTGTGCCTTCTTTCACGTTGCAGAGGTCTGTGCCTTGGTCTTTGATCAAACAGCCTGTCTGGCCTCCTGCCCCCACCTCCTTAGACTTATTCTCTGCCCTTTGCAAGATGTTTACTCCTCAAGCTTCCAACTTTCTATTCAGTGCTCTGCACAAAGCACCGAGGGCAGTCGTTGATGTCGTCTTTGAAAACAAAGCATAAAGGAAAGAGCAGGGAAAGCCAGTCATCTAGAAGTTAAAAAGTCTGGATTTTGGAGTCTTTGTAAACACATGGAGAGGTTTTATGGCTCAGGAGGTTATTTCTCAGCTGGGATGTCAGCCAGCAGCTGGTGGGAGGAATTTGCAGGACTCCTTGTGCCTTGAACATT